AGGCCGAGGCGTGCGGCGCCGCACGTCCCGCCCCGGGCTTGCGGCGGGGCCGGCCCTCGCTCCGCTCCGCCCCGGCCTCGCCTTTCGCCGTTAACAGCTCGCAGAGCTCCCGGCCGGCAGCGGGTGCGTGAAGAGGGGCCGCAGCTGGTGGTTGGGGCGGGAGGGAATGGAACGGACCCCGAGGTCAGCTGCTGTGGCACCGCCGCTCCCTCTCGACGTTGCGCTTTCCCTGCTTCGATGCCCCACGTAGCGCCAGAACGAACACGTTTTAGGTTAAATTACGCCCAAGTAGGTCTGAAAAGCTGGACGCTTTTCCAGCGTCATCAGTCTGAGGTTCACCCTCAGACAGTCACAGTTTACACGTTCGCCGACGGAACTCCTGTACGCTGCTGTGCCAACAGCACTTGGACATTCATAGGGTTAAAAAAAAACATCCTGAGAGCCTAGTTTCCGCAGTTCTTTTATGAGGAAAGCTGTTTTTAGCTTGTTTTTCTGCAGAAACAAGACAGCAACTGCTTTCATCTGCCTCTTCCTCTCCACCCTTCCCCAACAACTTCAAATCTCTCTTGTCCTTTTCAGTCAAGCTGAGGTTTCACTCATTTTTTCCCTTTGAATTCTGTAAATTACCAGCTAAACAGATGAAGAGGTCCCTAAAACGCGTGCCCAAACACGGAAAAGGCTGAAAGGCAAGTCCCCCCCATACTGCAGAAGTGCTCTTTTAAGTCCACCACCTGCTAACCAGCCCAGGCAGCAGCTTCTCCCTTGGAGCCGGTCCCTAGGTACAGGGCACGGGGAGTTACAGGAGGGAAGCAAGGGGGTCAGGGGGCAGGCAACGTCAAGGCAGGTGGGGAGAATACCCAGAGGTTGCTCCCAGGGGCTTGCAGCCTACATTTCTTTCATCACACTGCTTCACGGCACTTCCTATTACTCACTTCGTAACGGCACAAAATGTTCTGTCTCCAGTTGCAAACACGAAGGAGTTTAATCAGCAGTACTGATTAAACACTGTGCTTCTGCTTGCTGGACTGTACCAGCTGTTGTCTGACCACTCTGGCTGAATCTCCATAAAGGCCTGCATGCTTGAAAAAACAACACAGAATAAATTCAGAAAACAAGACAAAGGCCGGCGTGATCTCCTTTAACACTCCAACTATCCTGATGGTCAAAATCAGGTAATTCTGCCTGGACTGGGGAAACCACCCAGATGACGGGTTTGTTCCGGCAGGTCAGACGAATGAGGGATGGGCTCTGCGCTACATTATTCAGTATTATGATTGGGGTTGGTTTGTTTTTTTAAATCGAGGTCTTAGTATGGATTGTACATCCTGCTTATTAGGCAGTGTATTTTTTAGATGCTGGTTAAGATAATATTAAAAAAAAAAAAAGGCGATTTGCAGTTGGACTATAGCCATGGTTTTCTTCCACCGATTACGAAGTTCAGGAGAGCAAACTACTGGTCTAACATTACTAACAGGAAAAGTGCTTCCGTTTATGTACCAGAGTGTTGAGGAGCACATCAACTAAAATGCTTGCATTTTCACATTACCTCATTGCACTCGTTAGATACGCTCCTTCTAACTTTAAATTAACCCAGGGCAGGGCATGTTAACATGCAAGGTTTGCAAAAGTACAGGTCTTTCACTAATCACAGAAGTCATGATAGCACAGGTTATGCAAAATGGGTAGAGCATGAAACTAGGTTGGCTTGTTTTGGTTTCTTTGGCATGTATAGATTGTATACCCCAAGAAGCACAATTATCCCCGTGTTTCTGAAGCAACCAATCACGCATTCTGTATTATCAAAGGTCTGAAACAACAAACAGCCTAGTTTGGCTGATGCTAACCTGGTATAAATACTGCATCTTTGCCATAAGATGGCCACATCAACTTTCAAAGTTGTTTGTAGCGGCCTTGAAGAAATATATTTATGCAAGTGTGTGTGCACATGCGAGAGTGTATTTTTTAAAAAGCTTTATAAAAAGATTAACGTGGCATCTAAAATTAACTTGAAGACCGTGGTGTCGGGTGTAGGTACCTGGCAGTGTTCTAGGATCATCTGTGCCTGATAAAACACTTCTGCACGAAGTGTTTTTTCTATTACAGTAATTTCCTCCAGCAGCAGTATCATTAATGCAGCAAAAGCAACTCCAGGTGGACACAAGAAGTGTGAAATGTTCTGCAAAGGTATTCATTCCACCAAAATCAATTAACACGTAAGAATCCTGTCTCAGAGAAGCCAATAGCTATGTCAAGGGCAACTTCATCCCCCGCCTCTTTGCACCCCCCCACCCCAGCACATTACCCTCCCAGCTGCCAACTGTGTTGTACTCAGCTGAGGCTTTTACATATTTAGCAATGTGTCTGTCTTGTCTGTCTTCCAGGAGCTTGTCCCATCTCCCCTTGACCCACAAAACGCCATTCTCTGGCAGGAGTTCCACAGCTCTGCTCCCTCACCCGTGAAGGAAGGAGAAAGCAGCAGGTGAGGAATGTGTACCCACAGGGGCTGCTATTCTCCTCCTCTTAACGCTGCATGAACCGGTCAGTGCTAAAACAGGTTAATACCATCCAGTCTTCCACTCCAATCATATTGCCCTTCAGCATTTTTACAAAGTACTTTGCATCTGAGCCCCGTCAGCTAGGAACAGCTTACTATTTGACCATGAAACCTAATTGTACCAAATACAAGCAAAACATTTTTTTTTTTTTTAAATCCCAAGTAAACAGACTGTATTCTAACACACAACAGGTCTGTACCAATTAAATACAGTATGGCAGTATATAAATTACAGTTCTTTACAGTAAATAGTAAAATACGAGAGTCCGCTTACTGTACACAACAATCAAAGAAAGAACAGCAGCTTTTCAGTAAGGTCCCAGGTATCTCAATCATTCACTTGCTAAGAAACAAAGAAGAACAGATACAGCAGGCCATTCACTTCACTCATTTTTTTACCGTGTTACTTTACAAATATCCAGAACGCTTGTTCAGGCATCTACAGTATCTACACGTGGAACAACCTTCTTAGGAATTCATGAGCACCAGACATAAATCCCTCCATCGTTCCCATTATTAAAATAAACTTTACAGATTAAAATTACTTTAGCAGGTTCTATTTCATCTTGATAATAACCAGCAAGTAACAAGTGCAAAGTTTGCAGTCATGATCCATTTACTGCTTCTTTGTTTCCCCATTTCCCCCACACACCCAAAAAACCAAACCCCCCGCAGAAAAACCCAAAATGTTGTCCTCTCACACCCTTGCAGTAATACTGGTTCTGCAGTCAAACTGCCCGGCTGGCTTATGTTAACATATGAAATGCCAGACGTATAGCTTCAGGCATTGTTAGTCATTTCAATCCAACGCCAAGTCAGCACAGTGGCAGGCCTCTAGGAAGACAAAAAAAAAATACGAAGCAGTTGGATATTTCAGTGTGCTTAAACACAGAACATAAGGCTGCACGGTGCCCAGTGACTAAAAGAAAAATGGCACCAAGTTATCAGTTAAAACATTTACAATAGAAAGATATAAACAGCAAATGTGTCAGTCTAAAACAAGTTCTTTGGTAATTAAGAACAGCAAACCGTAGCTTTTTTTTTTCCAAATACGGATTTACATCCTGGTTTTTCCACAATAAAATATTTTTTGTTGTTTAAAATATATCTCCCAAGTTGTTGCGTAACAAATAGTCCAGTACCTCAGTTATCTACAGATCAGCTTTAACTGTATTTTAGTGTGCAGCCGTATCTGCTCACTGGCAGACAAACTATAGATACACATTCATATATATAATATATATATATTATTTATAAAAAATT